GTATGCTTGTGTAAGCATGTCTTGTGTAACAAACTTCTTTCAAATTAAGCTTAAGTCTAAAGATTAACTCTTTTATCTTTGGGCTGCCTTGTTAGCCTTTTTAGTTGCAACAATAGGCCATCCTGCTTTCCAAATTTTACTGTTCAGCAACGCTTGAGAGTTTATCTCAAGGTATCACTGTGTAACAACATTATCGCATCTTGTTCTAAGATTCTTTTTTTAAAAAAAACATTGCTTCTAAAACTCACAGTGTAGGACTTGTCTTAGTGCAATTGCTCAGTATGCTGGGATTTCACTATACATTTCAGAATCATAGAATCATTGAGTTGGAAGATATCTCATGGCCATCCAGTCCAACCCCCTGCCAAGAAGCGTGAAAATCGCATTCAAAGCACCCCCGACAGATGGCCATCCAGCCTCTGTTTAAAAGCCTCCAGTGAAGGAGCCTCCAACACAGAGTAATTGCAAGTTGGTGGTTAATGCAAGGTGGTGGTTAATGCCTCCTTACAGGAGGGAAAGTATCCAGCGAGCTTAAAACAAGCTATTATAAAACCGCTGTTGAAAAAAACCATCACTGGACCCCACTCAATTAGACAACTTTCGGCCTGTTTCCAATCTCCCCTATTTGGGCAAAGTCATGGAACATGTGGTGGCTACACAACTCCAGGAATTCCTGGTAGATACTGATTATCTAGATCCGGCACAGTCTGGTTTTAGGCTGGGACATGGAACTGAGACAGCCTTGGTCGCCTTGGTGGATGATCTTCGCCGGGAGCTGGACAGGGGGAGTGTGTCCCTGTTAGTTCTGCTGGACCTCTCAGCGACCTTCGATACCGTCGACCACGGCATCCTTCTGGGGCGCCTCGTAGATATGGGACTTGGAGGTACTGCTCTGCAGTGGCTCCAATCCTTCCTTGAGGGTCGGTCCCAGAAGGTCGGTCCCAGAAGGTGTCACAACCATTGTTGTGTGGAGTCCCACAGGGTTCAATTCTGTCCCCGATGTTGTTTAACATCTACATGAAGCCGCTGGGGGAGATCATCCAGAGTTTCAGAATGCGATGTTATCTCTACGCAGATGATGTCCAAATCTGTCACTCCTTCCCACCTGTCACCAAGGAGGCTGTCCAAACCTTGAACCGGTGCTTGGCCGCTGTGTCGGACTGGATGAGAGCTAACAAATTGAAACTGAATCCAGACAAGACAGAGGTCCTACTGGTCAGTCGCAAGGCCGAACAGGGAATAGGGTTACAGCCTGTGTTGGACGGGGTTACACTCCCCCTGAAGACGCAGGTTCGCAGCTTGGGAGTGATCCTGGACTCATCGCTGAGCCTGGGAGCCCAGGTTTCAGCGGTGGCCAGGAGAGCTTTTGCACAATTAAAACTCGTGCGCCAGCTGTGCCCGTTCCTTGGGAAGTCTGATCTGGCCACGGTGGTCCACACTCTGGTTACATCCCAAATAGATTACTGCAACACACTCTACGTGGGGTTGCCTTTGAAGACTGTTCGGAAACTTCAACTAGTCCAACGGGCGGCAGCCAGATTAATCACCGGAGCGTCATACAGGGAGCACACCACTCCTCTGCTACGTCAGCTCCACTGGCTGCTGATCCAGTTCCGAGCACAATTCAAAGTGCTGGTTTTGACCTTTAAAACCCTCTACGGCTCCGGCCCAGTGTACTTGTCCGAACGTATCTCCTTCTATGTCCCACCACGGAGTTTAAGATCTTCTGGGGAGGCCCTGCTCTCAGCCCCACCTTTATCACAAGTGAGGCTGGTGGGGACGAGAGACAGGGCCTTCTCAGTGGTGGCCCCTTGCCTGTGGAATTCACTCCCCGGGGATATTAGGTTGTCAACATCCCTCCTCTCCGTCAGGAGAAAGCTGAAGACATGGATATGGGACCAGGCATTTGGGTAATTTGGCAGGGTAACAAGGTAATGATGACTAGAGTTGGAAAGGACTATGGCAATGCTAAACGGATTGACGGATTTTAGAACACGATGAACGCGGGCTATAGAGCGGTTTTAGTTGATATTGTATTGTGTTATATTGTACTGTATTAATTGTCTGTTTTTAATCTATTGTGTTATTGCCGTTGCATTTTATTGTAATTGTGGGCATCGAATTGTGCCGGATGAAAGCCGCCTTGAGTCCCCCTAGGGGGTGAGAAAGGTGGGGTAGAAATGACCGAAATAAATAAATAAATAAATAAAAAGTTCTTTTTAAAAAGTTAATATTACTTCTGGAGTGTGTATATCAAACTGTTGATACTTAACAATGTGTTCTCATGACACATATGATGAATCCATTGCACCCAAACTTGGGGTATTTTAAGCAAAGGCTTGGTGACTGTTTTTCTATAGTGTTAAAGACATTTCCTCCTTTGTAAGCACACAACTTAATTTGGCATGATAAAAAACTAATTTTAACTCACATCTGTATTGTGTAATGAATTGACCAAAATTCATTTTAAACAGACTTGGTATTATAATGTGCAGTATGCATTTACATCCAATAAATAAGGAAGCTAACATATCTGATGATACCAACTGTTGATAAACTGTTTAACCGTAACTTGCCAGTAAAGATTAGTTTCATTCAAGGGTTGGTCTAGCATGCATTGTTTTGCCAACACAGCTCCTTTTCCACCTTTGACTAATATTAACTTGAATCGCTGTAACAATTGTTGTGTAATCTTCCTGTTACACCTGAAGGTGACTTGGGTTAAAACTGCAGTTATAGTAGATAGAACCACTGCATTCCAGTGATATAATTATATATGAATCATGGCAGTTAAAACATTTTCTTGGGAAATATTGGCCACTTTTGGTTTTTTTAATTGTTCAGTTTCAAATAGTGTTTAAATTATTGGGGGAGGGGGGCAGGACCACTGGTCTTTTTTAAGAAAGGAGGCCAGAAGTGTGAAACAAAATATGGAATTATGGTGATGTCATTTGTTCTAACAGAATGTGAAGTACCGTATATTCCGGCATATAAGACGACTGGGTGTATAAGACGACCCCCAACTTTTCCAGTTAAAATATAGAGATTAAGACGACTCCCATGCATAAGACTACACCCGCGTATAAGACGACCCCTGATTTTTGAGAAGATTTTCTTGGGTTAAAAAGTAGTCTTATACGCCAGAATATACTGTAGGTAACCTGCTTTCCCTCGCTTATGCTCCCAGTCATGACAGTGAACCCTGATTCATCAACCTGATTCATCACGCTCTCGCCTTCACTCTCTTTCATTTTTTTCTGGGCAGTGGAAAGATGATGGTTTTAATTCACCTGACTGTTGACAGGTTGATTTATGTATGCTCTGTGTCATGTAAGAGATTTCTACAAAGCAGGAAACAGAATTTTCAAAATGTACATGTCTTGTCTTCAATACCCAGTTTTTTCCTTCGAAGGTACACACCTCTGTATGCAGTGAATGCATCTATGCTGCATGTGGACTTTTAAAAATGTATATCTAGCCAGTTTCCCCACTGCTGAGATCCACCTTCAATGATTTCACATGTCAACCTTGTATTAGTCTTGTGCTATTGGCAAGAAGAAACTGCATGCAGTGGAGCAAGCAGTATGACATGGGAGAGGTGGAGCACGCAGTCCATTATCTGTCCCCAACATAGAATCCAAAAGAATGGCTAGAAAACAGGCAGGCCCCCTCCCATTTTATACTCAGCATAGACTCACAGTTCTTGGTTTGTCTCATCACAGGTTCACAGTAGGTATTTTTTGTCAGCTAGTAAACTTGGGAGTTTATTTATAAGTTTTATCTTCTATTATATGTCAGTCCACTTTAGATGTCAAAACATTTCTTTTGCTGAAAATCCATTTTACTGTTCTTGTTCTGAAATACTGGAGTATTCACACTGTGTTTTTGACACTAAACCTTTTTATTGTGGGATGGCACTTACCTTCTTCTTAAGATTTCTTTTTACTTATCTGCTTGACAAATGTGCCTTGGGGAGTAATAGAGAAATAATAGCTTTCAGATCTCTCAAGGGTTAGTAACTGTTACATAAAACTGGTTATGAAAGCAGCAGTCACAATTTTAGAAGAGTTCTCCTGACTATGCATGTGTCATCTCTGATAAATTTGTGGAAATATATTCCTTGAAGCTGGAAACTGATTGAGATTTTACTGAAGATTTAGACTGCAGTTTCCCAGATGACTTACCATAATAGTGGACATGTTGACTGAAGCTTTTTGGTCTTCAGAACATTTGCAGGGGCAACTTTTTCCACTATTTCCTTACTGAATCAGATCTCTGTTTGTGGTCATCTGGACCCATCAGATTCCTGTGAGAAGTCACACATAGGAGATAAATGGTCCTCTGTTGTCTGTTCCTAGCCTCTAGTAAAAGAAGATACTCTGGTCTTACTCCAACAGTCAAGCTATTATACCATACTGGTTCTCTCATTAGCTGTTGATCCATTGGATCTAATCTAAACCCAATTTTAAAGAGGTTATTTAATGAGTTGTATGTTCATTGTTCCAAAGAGCAATACTATAAACATGTAAACCTTCACATGTAACCATTTGTTTCTGAATTTGAATACAAAGCAATGTGTAACCGAATGTTTAAACTGCCCTCAACATTGGATTTTCAGGTGTATTGCATCACCATTCCTTGAATACCTTACATTGGCTGTGATTGAGGTTTCCAAGAGTTAAAGTCTGCCCTTGTGTTTGAAAGAAGCATTGATCAGATGCAAAGCAAGAAGTGTTGTTTTAGCTTGAACAGCTACCCTTTTTGGAAGCGAGAAAGCAATTTGAGGTCACCTTCCCAACCCATAAAGGTGGAAGAAACCTGATAACCTATTATTTGCTGCGTGTGTTCTAAATGGTACGCAGTTGGAGATGCCAAGAAGGTCAATATCACTGCAGAAACAAATAACTGCAAAGAAGTTTTACATCTCTGTTAGCTGGTACTTGATTAAGTGTTCTGATTTATGGAAAGATATTTATTTCTACCTTTTGTTTGTTTTCTAGGGGAGGTGGAAGTCACTGAAGTTCCTTTCTCATTGATGATAGTCTCTGCTTGTAGCCTTATCGTCCTAGTACTATTACTTGTGAACTGTGTTTCCTGTTGTAAAGAGCAAGAGATAAACTTCAAGGTGAGTATAAGAAAGAGAAACTTATTTCCCTGTGATAATATACCTATATAAACAGTGACATATAGAATTTAATGCCTAGTATTAAACGTCTGCCTGATTGGTGTTTCCTCAATGCAGTTCCCAAAGTTAGTTTAAACTTTATTATATTGTTAGCCATCCTTACCTGGGCAGTCTATCGGTATATTTTTAGATTTTTGAAGCGTTTTAAGTTCAGAGAAGGGTTTGTGCATTGTTTTAAATGCTTTCCATAGTTGTTGTTGGCTTTATTGTGTTGTTCTTTCTTTATTTGGTGGTTTCCTAGCAGCAAGGTTAGTATAGAAGTCTGACAAATAATACATTAATGTGAAACCAACTTCCCTAGGACTCTAGCTTGCTTGACTGATCAGGTAAATGTGGAAAGTGGATCTGAGGTATTGCTGCCATTGTTTTTAAAGAGCTAAATGGATTGTAGTTAAATGGGCACAGAAGTAACTGTCAGGCAGTCTGGCCATGTAAATAATATGATGAAAGGTATCTATTTAGGCAGGTAAAAATGAACTTCCCCCCTCCCATTGTTGTATTTAAGACACAATTGAAGACCCATCTCTTCCAGGAGGCCTTCTCAGGCCACCTCTACACTGCTATATAAAATCCAGATTATCTGTTTTGAGCTTGATTATATGGCAGTGTAGACTCATAAAATCCAGTTCAAAGCAGATAATGTGGATTATCTGCTTTGATAATCTGGATTCTATGGCAGTATAGAAAGGGCCTCAGTCAACTTTGAATCATGAGTTTTGGATTTACATTGTATTGCTGCTGCATGTTGATTTTTGTAGCCTGTGTTTGAGTGTATGTATTTTATAATGGTGTATTTTAACATATTTATATATACATTTTGTTGTTTGTATATTATGTTAATAAGTTTTGGCTGTGTTGTACCCCGCCACGAGGAGAGCTACATAACAAATAAAATTTATTATTATTAATTTGAAAAAGTAAATTAAATTAAAGTGTCCATGGCAATTTGGTTAATAAAACAGTTTTCTTAAAATATATATTCAGAAGGTTATGTGAGGCCTCTTTTAAACAATAGCTCTTTCAGAAAAGCATTTGGAGGGGTCAGATACACAGCCACAGGATAGCTAAACCACAGTTAAAACAAATAGTTCTTGTGTGGGAAATAATCTCAAGATTTTATAATAAGTACATGGAATAACTGGAGAATACTGAATGATATTTCATTTTTTTTCTGTCCGTGAGAAAGGCAGATAGGAAATTGAAATACAGGCATTCTCCATATGCTTGATAGTCCAAAAATTCTTAAACTGGGAGGACTGTCAAATGATCATTTTAATGCATGTGTGTGTGAATGTCAAGCGGAGGGTAGTCTTCTGTTCAAACAGAATTTAGGCTGGATCTATACATTATTATTATGTTTATTTATAATCCACTTTTTATCTCCACAAGGAGACTCAGGCAGCGATATAATCCAGATTATCTGCTTTGAACTAGATTATATGAGTCTACACTGCCATATTATCCAGTTCAAAACAGATAATCAGCATCTTGTATGGCAGTGTAGATGGGGCCTTAACAACCTTGGGAAGAATATGGAAGCCATTGGACCTGCCTAAAACATTGCTTTAGTTAATGCTATGCACAACAATTCGGTTAATTCAGGTGCTTTGTGTGAGCCTTAGTTTGAATGCTTTTACTTCTCTGCATTAGAGACCAAAATAACCAACAAGAATTTAGTTGTGACTTGTGGCATTCATTTATCTCATTCATTTTAGGAGATATGCTCGATGTACCTCTAAACTTAGATTTGCCCAACGATCATATGAGCAGTTTATAGAAGAACAAAATTTGTGTGTTGTTACATTCTACTTAACATTTTTACATGAGGAACACTATGCACTGCAGCACTTACAAAAGGGCCAAAGATTGCCTGACATTTGTGACCTAAGTCATTGGATTGCAATAAGTCAAAGTCTACTTAGATGGCAATTAACAACAAAGTTTTGCTTTCTCGAGGATTTACATAACAGTTTGGGCACTTGGGTATAAATAGCTAATCTACATCTTGAGTTCCTGAATAAGGCAAGTTCATATTGCTCTACTAATCTTGGTGTTTTTGTAGGAATTTGAAGACAATTTTGATGACGAAATAGACTTCACACCACCTACAGAAGATACCCCATCTGTTCAGTCTCCAGCAGAAGTGTTTACCCTTACAGTCCCGAATGTTTCTTTGCCAGCTCCATCACAGTTCCCTCTTCCTCCAGGTAAGATGCTTCTAGACATAAGTGTCTCGCTTCTCTTCCTGCCTCTAGTCATGAAATAGAATTCTCATCTTCTAGTCTCCCTATTTTTCTGTGTCAAAGCAAAATGCTCATTTTTTCCACCAGATTTTTTTTTGTATTTTTCTTGAACAGCTTGTGGGTTTGTCCCATAAAATTAAGTGTGTGGAATTTTTTGGGTCTGTTTAGTAACCCTCGATCCCCCACCGCTCCAAGGCAATACCTTGCATAGCTTGTAGTTTATTCTCTTAAATGCTGGTGTGGCCCTCGGTGAAAATGAATTTGACACCCCTGACCTAGACAGTTGAAAAAAGAAACAGACTCTATATCAGTGTTTCTCAACCTTCCTAATGCTGCAACCCCTTAATACAGTTCCTCATGTAGTGGCGACCCCCAACCATAAACTTATTTTCGTTGTTATTTCATAACTGTAATTAATCTACTGTTATGAATTGTCATGTAAATATCTGATATGTAGGATGTATTTTCATTCACTGGACCAAATTTGGCACAAATACCTGATATGCCCAAATTTGAATACTAGTGGGATTGATTTTGTCATTTGGGAGTTGTAGTTGCTGGAACTTATAGTTCACCTATAAGCATTCTAAACTCCACCAAGGATGGAATTGACCACACCTGGCATACAGAACTCCCATGACCAACAGAAAATACTGGGAGGGTTTGGTGGGCATTGATCTTGAGTTTGGGAGTTATAGGTCACCTACATCCAGAGGGCACTGTGGACTCAGTCAATAATGGTTCTGGACCAAACTTGGCACAAATACTCAATATGCCAGAATTTGAACACTGGTGGAGTTTGGGGAAAATAGACCTTGAAATTTGGGAGTTGTAGTTGCTGGGATTTATAGTTCACCTATAAAACTCAACAGCAAGTTTGTGAATAAAAAACTGATGGTGTATGGCTTCATCCTTGGTTAAGCATGCTGTCCAGGCTTGCATTACAGAGATTTTGCTGAAGGAAATGGGGTGGGGGTGCTTACCAAGTGTCCCATCTCTTAGGTTTGAGTATATGTATATACCAAAATACCAGGTTTGAGTATATGTATATACCAAAAGAGAAGCGAAGGATAGGTGGAGAGATCTTCAGCCTTCTCTGCCAAAGGGGTTCCTAAGACCATCAGAAATACGTGCTTTCAGGTGGTCTTTAGCAACCTCTCTGAAACCACCACCACCACCACCACCCCCCTGAGGTCCTGAGTCCAGGCTGAGAAACACTGCTCTGCTTCTATATTTTGTTGATGTGGAGACAGACAGCTGTGCCTCTCTTTTTGGGCCACATCTCTCATAATTTACTGTGCTGCGTGTAAATTGTAGTTCAACAATTGGATTTGCCTTGAGGATCACCTAACCCTCCCCCATTTTAGCCAGAGATTGGTTTGATTCACATCTGTTAGTGAGATGCCTTGTTTGAAGACATACATTTATTGTTGACCATATGCTGGGCAAAACTATGATTGGTTTTTTCAGTCACTACGCTTCTTGTATCATGTATCTCATGACATGTGTGAAAGGCTAAATGGCATTTTAAGAAAGGAAAATATTGAATTCACTGAAATATGTAGCTTTTTTTAAAAAAAAACCCAACAAATCCCTATATTTAATCTTTAACAGAAGCACTGAAATCTCAAGTTGTCCGTCAGAACTTGAACTATATTCAAGAAATTGGAAATGGCTGGTTTGGAAAGGCAAGTGCATGTTTTAATATTGCAACTCTATCTCTGTAAAAATATTTTCTGCTGCAATGAGCAAAAATAGCTCTCGAATATATTTTGAAGAGTGAACTTGCCAGGTTATCAGAAAGATGCTTCAGGAAAAACCTATGCTGTTTGAATTTTAAAATGGAGGTTGCACTGGAACCTTGGTGCAGTGCTGTTCTCAGATTTGAATGGTGAAAGAATATTGGTTCTCTGTTGCTTTCCTTTAACACGTTAACATATTTTAATGGTTCAAAATCAGAAACATTCACTAAGATAGCTGTAGCTCCTATGTACTGTGTATTAGAATGTACACTTATTATCCTCCCCCATGACTTCTGTTAAGTCACAAGGACAGGTATATAAATGTGTACAAACTTAAGGCAATGCCATTTTCCCTAGAAATGTGAGGTTGGTCCCCCTTTTCTTAACACTTGCTTATTTTCTTAAATTTTGGTAGAGTTTCTGGAATCTCTGAGATCTATTTATTTTGCACATGTATATTATACTTCTCTTAAATGGGGCATGCATGGTTCTAACCTGTACACTTTATCCTGACGGTAACCCTGTGAGGTAGGTCTGGCTGAAAAAATGACTGTCTCAAGGTCATCCAGTGAGTGTAATGGGAACTCCAGTTGGTTAGATATTGGAGTGGATTTGGATGTCTTAGTTCAGAGGTGGCTCTCCAGTTGTTTTGGCCTTCAACTCCCAGAAACCCTACCCAATATCCAGTGGCAAGAAATTCTGAGAGACGAAGTCCAAAACACCTGGAGGGCCACAAGTTTGACGCCACTATCTTAGTTCATCTCTCAAATATCAGTCACATAGCCTGAAATTCGAATCCTTCTTGCTTTTGTCTCATATCCCAGTGTTTCTGTAGTCATGTTTTGCAGCCTTTCGGGAGGAATTGAGAGTTTGCCAGCCTCTGTGGAGGGAGTGCAAAGTAGGAAAGTTTAGCTGGGTACAATGCACATGCATGTTGGGAATCTTATGAGACCTAAGTGTACCTCCAATGTGCACGAGTGTTTTGTAGGTCAGTCTATATGCAGTCTTCCCTTCTGCTTGGTCAAAGAAAAACCTAATAGTGACTGATTGGTCTGATTGTTCAAGGAAAGGTGGTACTTCTGGTTGTAAAAATATGATCAGAATCTCCAGTCTTTTGTGTTTAGAGACTTTTTCACCTACTCTTCTCTTAAAGCATGCATTTTACACCCACACATTATTCTTTTGGTCCAAAAGCTGTAAAAAATGATCCTTTACTCCTGTTGGAAGCATTTTGCCTTTATGTAATAGTCATGAGACTATACAGCTGTAACTTTTGGGCCACCACTTTTTTTTGGCCCACCATTCCAGTTCTGGCATATGTTAATTTTGCTCAGACTAATTTGTTCTTTAAAAACAAGAACTCGGGACATGTTGGCCTTTAAATGCATGGGAAACATCTTGCATCTGTCATATTGCTTAAACTCTTCCAAGTTTTTGTAAAACGGTGCTCTGAGTGAGATGTTAGGCAAATAATTCAAATCAAAGTTTTAGATAAGTTATAATTTTAAATGAAACAAAATTATAATTTAGGGTGGAAATATAAATTCATAAAAGGGGATGCTGATTGTCAGGATGTTTGCCTGAACCCACTGAAAGCTTTTTTGAAGGACCAAGGAGCACACCTTGAATATTCTTGGTGGACCAGTGCTTTGAGTTTGTATAAGGCAACATCTGGGATTTTTCTTGGAAGGCATTGTAGAGACTTTTACAGGCAGTCCCCAAGTTACAAACAAGATAGGTTCTGTAGGTTTGTTCTTAAGTTGAATTTGTATGTAAGTCAGAACAGGTACATTTTGTAAGTGCAACTCCAGCTACAAACACACACATATATGGGTCGCATAGGGAAGGGTTAACATCCCTGTGGTGTTTCTGTTGCTGCCTGTGTCCCTGTTTAGCAGATCTCACCTCCCTTTCTGTTCCTGTGAGAATTGGATTTTGAAAAAAAAAGTCTTGTGGAAATAAGGATTGGTGAGAAAGCTTCAGTGAAGATACCTTTCCCCATGAAAACTCTTCCAGAAATAGATTTCTCTTCCAAAGGGTAGATTTCTCTCACTTCCTGTTGTCTTAGCCCCGTACTTCACTAGGATGTTGTAACTGCCTGTATTTTCTTTATGTGGATTGCAGTTTCCTTTCTTTTGAAAATGTAACTGAGGCTTTGTGATCACATTTAGGTTCTGCTTGGAGAAGTTTACACTGGCACCAGTGTGTCAAGAGTCGTTGTGAATGAATTAAAAGCAAGTGCTGGTCCCAAGGAACAAGACCGTTTTTTGAGGCATGGAGAGCCTTATTTGTAAGTAGTTTCTCTGGAGCTTACAGTGATCTGATGTAACCTTGTAAATATTAATGCCCCACCTTTTGAAAACAGTGTTATTTAACTTATTGTGAAATAAACATTTTTTTCAAAGATCTTGTAGTAGTGAGAGATGGCATAAAATTAGAAACAATTAACTTGGAAATTTAGATCGTGTGATCTCTGAGGGACTGAATAGGGGCAGAACAAGGTCGCTGCTCCAGATGTTAGATTAGTTGGTTGTTCGTTTTCTAAAGTTAGTGATTATTATTATTATTATTTCACTTCAACTGACATGAATAGTGAAGGTTTACTTGTAAGATTTTTTGCTAAGCTAGGTTGTGCACCTTGACTTTTGGTATAATATCATTTTCAGACCTTCATCAGGAACTTGGGTAGTTCCACATCCAGCTCTGCGTCTACTATCAGACAGAATTAGGTGGCTGCCTAAGAAAGCAATATTTATTATTTTATTTACTTAATTTTATCCTGCCTTTCCCCACATAGGCTGCTGGGTTTTTTTTACTATCAGATCTATAGTAATATATAATACTGATATTGTACTATGCTAATAATATAATATATTGTACGTATATATATTTTATAAGCCGCTCTGAGTCCCCTTCGAGGTGAGAATAATAAATAAATGGTATCTGGGTATCAGATATAAGATTTCTTCCTTTGTGTACCAAAGGAACTATGCTGCTGTTGGGTACTGTGCAGCTTTATTTAGATGTGGATGGTAGCATATGTTCTGCACCAGGCAGCAACAAGTATTAGGCTGCTCCTGCACTTGCTATTAAGATAACTTTGAATTGTTGTGGTTAAAGCAAGTATGTGTGAATCTTTGTGTTTGTACTATGTCTTTATTCAGTTTAATTTGATTTTCATATAGGTATTTAAGGATGCACATGGTTATATTCATTTTTATCCTCCTAGGCAAGCATTTGAAGCTACCTAATGAGCTTTTGGGGGCTGAGCAGTGAGATAAATTGTGTTCATTTGATGCCAAGTGAAATATTTTGTGTGCCTTTTGTCACATGTGCTTTTAATTTTGTCATATATTTCACATAATTTTATCAACTCAGTTGGCGACTTTCCGCTAGGGTTCAGCAACAGAAACCCCATGTTCTTTGGTATCCATGGAAGATGAACCAGTCTATTGGACTCACACAACTTGGATTTCATTTATTAACTAGCTCATAAACCAGGAATGAAACACCGTTCCATGCTTTACAGCCTCTTATTTACCTGTTTTTCCTTTCCTTTCAGAATTCTTCAACATCCTAATATTCTCCAATGTACAGGGCAGTGTGTAGAAGCTATCCCTTACCTTTTGGTCTTTGAATTTTGTGACTTGGTGAGTAAATGTTATTTTACCGTGGTAGCATATTGGTATTGGTTTGATCTCTGGTTCTTTCCTGGGGAGGTTTTTGAGTCTAAAGGGGGAATTACCTTTGGTGAATGAAAAGATGAGAAGGGTCTTAAACAGTGTGATGATAGATTTAGATCATGTGAATGTCAACACTTAATATGAACGGTCATGCTCTGTTTGTTGTTGATAAGCAATACTATAGAACAGTGGTTCTCAACCTGGGCTCCCCAAGTGTTTTAGGCCTTCAACTCTCAGAAATCCTAACAGCTGGTAAACTGGCTGGGATTTTTGGGAGTTGTAGGACAAAAACATCTGGGGACCCAAGGTTGAGAACCACTTCTATTGAAGAAAATAATAATAATAATAATAATAATAATAATAATAATAATAATAATTAATAAGTAGTGCCTAAAGACCTTGGCCTGCACTTAAACACAATCAGCATTGGCAAAATTACTATCTGTTAGCTGCAAAAGGCCACCCTACTGGGATCTGCACGCATTATTTGCTGATACATCACACAGTCCTATACACTTGGGAAGTGTCTGACATGTGATCCAATACAGCAACCAGCAGAGTAATCTTGTTCGCTGTGTACTCATCTTGTTATGTTTCAAATAATAATAATAATAATAATAATAATAATAATAATAATAATAATTTATTTCTAGACCACCCTCTCTCCCAAAGGGATTCAGGGCGGTTTACATACAGAGCCTTAAAAATTCAGTGTCTTAAAAAACACAAACAGCAAAAAGTACAAACAGCATCAAGAATAATACAAAATAATGCACAATAATAACAAGTCAGATAATGTAGGCCAGGCAATATTTGGAGCAGAAATCAGGACAGGAGAGAGATAGTTAGTGTTCTAGCATACATTCTTTGATCAATTTGGGGGGTTATTTATGTTCTTGCAGGCTACAGAAGTAGGTGCCACTTTCTGTACGTATTCTGAGCTACGTTCATTTACTGTCTAGGCCTCTTCTTCCCTATTCTTCTTAGATTAGCTTTAAAACAAAGACATCACCAGAAGTACCACTGTCTAGTGCTAGGATGGGAGATGTATTGATCTCCAGGTGTTATTGTAGTACAATTTCCATTATCTGCATTAGCAGCTTTTCCTTCCATCTCAAAGTTTCTGATATCAAGGGCCATCAATCTCCTTCTTTCCCAGCATGCCAGAAACTGGTAGCATATGGGTTCCTATTAACTATAGTCCACCCCACTCCTTTTTATTTATTTCTTTTCTTAAAACTCATCAGGGATTGACAACCAGTGGCCCAGGAGCCAGCACTGGTTCAAGACCTCTGTTTTGAGTCTATGGCATTTGAAACAACCTTCCTTCCCTCCTCTGAATATTTCCGAACTAGATCTGGCCTAATTATACTGATCTTGTAATTTTCCCTTTGTCTCTAGTGGGGTTGAGTGCTAATTAATTTTTCAGTTAATTTCCTGGTTTGTAAGTTTGGGTGGATGAATGGACATGAGCTTTTCCTGAGTTAACTTTTATATAGTTGGTTGCTTTGGGATCATTTATTTATAATGCATTCTGCCATGCTCCAGATATGTTTAACCTGTTTCAAAGAAGGTTTTGCATAGGAAAAAGTAGGTATAGTTGACAGTCTGTAATTTTTATTAATTCTGCAATATCTTGGGGATTTAGCACATCATTTCAAACATTGCCATGATCCTGTCAAGTATAATCCGTAAAAAAATTAACTTGCTAGGAGATAATACAAGGCAGTGAGTTTTGTGAACTTAGTAGCATTCATATATGTAGCTGCTATTAAGTGATGGACATTGAAATTAAACCCGTGTTTCTGTGTCCTGCTTCAGCCAAGCAAAAGTAAAATAAGGTGCAGTACAGCAGCTGCAATAACATTTTGTGACTTTTGCAAGTCTGTGATCTCTGTGTAGCTTTTGTAAGTGAGAAGAGGAGTGGGATGTGAAGCTGGCGTTAATTGCATACTATGCTGTGTAGCCCTGTTAAAATAAGCTGTTACAGCCATACCTACACTGTGCGATATTAGTAAGCTTCAGGCAGCAAATACTGTCTCAAATCAATACAAGGAAGCATTCCTTTTTCATTTTGCATTTCTCACTACATGAAAAATATCTTCACATAGTTATCTGTGGTAACATCTGCAGGCAGTGGGAACTGGATTTGGTGGGGATTGTTTCCCTCTACTTGAGGTGGCTTTTTCCGAGCAATAAAATAATTCACATTTAATGGTATTTCAGTCATGTTCTTCCATAGTTCTTCATCAGCTTACCTCATGAATCCATTTTGTTTGCATGTCTGAATTAAAAACCAGGATTTTTTGCTTCAGGATAAGACAGATCTTTAGCTGAAAACCTCTAGAATGTGTTAGATGGCGTTGCCAACAATGTTTTAAAAAGACTGTGCCAGATCAGCTACTATGGGGTGGGGGAGTACCTGACAGATTCGCGTGTTTATGTGGGAGTGATGCATGCAAATGTAAATCCAAATTTAACCATTCTTCAAGCAAATACTTCGAGATTCGTTTGAACTGAGTTAGACCTGACAAACCAAGCTCTCATTAATTTCTTGGTTCTGCTCCTAATGAAAGCTTAATCTAAACCAAATAATGTTTAATCATTTAATAATCTAAAGTGGAGTTGTTAGTTCAGCAACATCTAGATCAGTGGTTTTCAACCTGTGGGTCCCCAGGTTTTTGGTCTACAACTCTCAGAAATCCTAAGACCTGGTAAACTGGTTGAGATTTTTGGGAGTTGAAGGCCAAAACACCTGGGGGCCCATAGGCTGAGAACTACTGCTCTAGATGTTGCTGGACTATAACTCTACAATCTTGGCCAGAATAGCCAATGATGAGGAATACCTAGAGTAGCAGTTCTAACAACATCTAGAGGAGAATTTTCCAAATGTTTCATGCTGGTGACATACCACTTTTAGACAGGCATCATTTCACAATACAGTAATTCAGTTCTACTAGGAAACTGGATGACAAACCTACCCCTGATAAGAGATAGGAATGCATACAGAACTGTAATAAGGAAATTAATGGGGACACAGTATATCCCATTTAAACCTTTCATTCATGGTATATATTTCAACATATATGATTTCTTACTTATTTCACATAGATTCATTATGTGAATCACATTCTTGTGATTCACATACACACTGCAGCCAGCACACTAACGTGTCGCAATTACCAGTTTGGAAAACTCTGATCTACAGCAAAGCTTCTTAAAGTGTGGGTTGTGGCCACACATGGGGTTTGGACAATTTTTTAACAGGAGGAGGGGGCACCAGAAAGGAGAGAAAGGATGAGAGAAGCATCCTCTTCTGCTTACCTTAGAGAGAGGAAAGGGAAGGGGGCAAGGAGGAAGGGAGGGCTTTTGGAGGAACTTCTGTATTGGCCCGTGGGCAGAGGGAGGAAGTGCCCCTCTTGTCTGTCAGTGTGTCTGACCCTTCCCGTCCTGTCCCAGAAGTCACTCCCTTCCTTCTTGTCTTGTGAATGTGTTGGCCATTCATTTCCTTCCCTTCCCTTTTTGGTTGGGAGGCGGGTGTCTGTACTTTCCTTCTCTCCATCCCATTGTGCTTGTCACAGTGAGAGACACATAGATCTGGCAGAAGAGATCTGAAAGCTAAATGACGTATTGGAATTTAAAACACATCTTAAGACCTATCTCTTCCAGCAGGCCTACCCAGTCAGTTTTAATCATTAATTTTAAACCCATGTCATGTGTCTACTATGTTTTAGTCACTGTTTTGTGAATTTTAATACTGTATATGTATTTTGTAGAAATATGTTGTAGCATGTGTATTTTACATAATGATTGTGTTTTCAGCTATGTTGTAACCCTCCTCAAGTCACAAGGAGAAGCAAGTAAAAATATAATAATAATAATAATAATAATAATAATAATAATAATAATAATAGAAACAACTGGAAAAGCTGACACAATATGAGGATTTAAAGATCGAACTGCAAAGACTCTGGCTCAAGCCAGTCAAGATGGTCCCAGTCATGATCGGCACACTGGGTGCAGTGCCTAAAGACTTTGGCCTGCACTTAAACACAATCAGCGCTGACAAAATTACCATCTGCCAGCTGCAGAAGGCCACCTTCCTGGGATTTGCACACATTATTCGCCGATACATCACACAGTCCTAGATCCAATACAACTTCCAGCAGAGTGATCTTGTTTGCTGTGGACTCATCTTGTTGTGTTTCAAATAATAATAATAATATAGAGCTAGAGTGAATTCTTCCTCTCCTCTTTCACCCATTTTGCCTTCTGATTCAGGTATCCCACCTACGCTCCATACTCCTCAATGCATCAACTTGGTGCCGACATAATCTGCCCATGAAGGCACTCGCCATGAGAATTTGTTTCCTCTTGGCTTCTTTGTGCAGAGGAGGAGAGAGAGTTCTTTAAAAATAATATTTTAAACCTAAATGGATTTCAAATAAAATTATGTTTTATTATCAGTAAAGGTTTGATTTGTATCCTTTTTAAATATATCTGGGGCTCTGTATACATTTCTTAGACATAATGGAGTTGCAAATTGAAAAAGTTTTAAAAGCCCTGACCTAGAGAACCATGCAATTCTTCTCCCTGCTGAAGTTCACAGGTTCAAAAAGTCCCCTGCTGAAAGACAAATCATTTGTTAGAGTTTTGCTGCCATCTAGAGCTGGTGAGGCAGTTTGGTTCAAGTCTTGGATATGTGCTTCTGCAATGAATCATATGTGTATGAGGACAAAACCACCGGTGGGGCTTTTAATCTGTCTCTGGAAGTAGGCTTCTGCACCTCGCCGCCTGGGGGCTACAGTGACAGTGCAGAGTGTAATATATTTATAAATGGCAATAGGTCTAAATCAGTGGTTCTCAACCTGGGGTCCCCAGATGTTTTTGGCCTCCAACTCCCAGAAATCCTAACAGCTGGTAAGCTGGCTAGGATTTCTGGGAGTTGTAGGCCAAAAACATCTGGGGACCCCAGGTTGAGAACCACTGGCCTAAATGTTTAAACAGAAATCTGTCACAGACTCTATATGTAAGATCCATTTGTTTGATTCTATCAGATGTATTTTAAAAGAAGGTTGTCAAGGTGAGACTTACTCTTTGGGGCTCAGTGCAATGCAATGACCCATGGAGTATATCTATACCTAAGGTGACAAATTTGTAAATGTTCACCTTGAAACACACATCTGCTTCATATTATCAGCTCCTGATCCATTTTGAAGTACTGAATTTGACTTGCCTGCCCCAGGCCTCCCATAGTTCACAGTCTCCATGTCTGATACTTAAGCATAGTGGGAGGAGAAGTACACTACAACTTCCAAGAACTAAAATTTATAGAAGGTTGACTTAGGTCCCTGGAAGGTTAATACATGTATCTGCTCCAATCTTTAATTGCCTAAGGCTTTCAGGTGTCCCTTCAGCCTGAAATGTGGGGATTAAAAATGTTGGAAACCTTATAACTATCCTCCCAATATTTTCTCAACACCCTTCCCATGAAACATGTCAGGAAGTTTGTCTAATTCTAGAGATGAATGCCCTTTTCTCTTGATAGTAACATTAGCATCAGTAAATTACACAGCCGAAACATTCTTTTTCTTGGTTTCTTTGTTTTAGACCTGTTCCTGGGGTTATTTGGGACGCTGATTCAGAACATAGAACTGCATAAACATAGCTCTAGTTTCTCATATTTGATTGTATTTATAATGACAAGTTTGTTTCATAAATCTGTGATTTTGGTGTGAAATAAGTAGAGTTTCATATTGTGCATTTTTCTTTTAATCTTTAGTATGTTTCCTTCATGCTTAAAAGATATCTATTTAAACACTACATTAAAATATCCTGATTTTTTATGAGTGAGCAGTGTTAAGAGTGGCATATGGCATATGTTTTGTATCTCACAAACTAGAGCCAGTAGGGGAAAATTGGTACCATTTTTGGAATCAGCAGGTCAAATATACCCATAAATACACCAAAATGTGTGTTGGCAAATAATCATTCAAAGCCGCCCTGAGCCCGTCCCCCCCCCCCCCCCCCCCCCCGGGAGGTTGAGAAGGGCAGGGTACAAATGTTTGAAATAAATAATAAATACAGTGGTTTAAATAGTCTGGTTTTGGCTGCTATGTGTTATTTTAAGTTTGCATATATAGAGCCTGTACTTAATGAATTTTGTTCTTCATTGACTAAAATATTTCAATTGCCTGTCGCTTGCAGGCCAATTAACAATCACTTTTGCGTTGCACTATTCCAGTACTTATTCTTACCTCTGATTCTTCCTTTTCATATAACTCCTTATCTCTCAACTCTAAGTCCCTTTGGTTTTATGTCTTTTCATATTTTTTCCCTGTTATCTTGTAATCTTAATCCAGGTCAGTTAATAGGTACCGATATAGAGTAATCACCAAATGGCCTTAAAAGGACCATAACATGGACCTTAGGTGCCTTCTCATCGAACTGTTACAGAGTCTGGAAATCTGATGACAGAGTTCTGTAAGCACGGTTATTTATAACTCTTGCTAATAACCTTGTTGACTGATGAGAACTAAACGATGTGTGCTGCTTCATTACATATCTGTTAGGTACGACCAGCATTGATGAGTGTTCTTAAACTCCTTTTACAGGGTGACCTAAAAACATATCTTTGCAATGAAGAGAACATTAAAGGAGACTCGCAAGTAATGTTCCTGCAGAGGATGGCCTGTGAGATTGCTGCTGGACTCACCATAATGCATAAGCATAATTTTGTGCATGGGTAAGATTTTCAGATATTTAATGCTGTCATCTCTTCATATATTATTGATAAAGCACCAAGGCAGAAGTTCAATAGTAAAATGCAAGATGTAAGAGTTCCTCCAAAGGATGGCTATAGTTTAATGGTTTAATGGTAGAACATATGGTTTATATGCAGAAGGTTCCATGTTGAATTCCTAAAGGAGGTTGGAAAACGCCATTTTGGAAACACTACATAAGCCCTTCTAGTCAGTGTTGGCAAGACCAGAATAGATGAACGAGTTGTCTGTCCGTTCCACTATTACTGTTCTGAGGTACAGTTGAATACTGGAACTCAGCCTTCTCACATTTTCCAAGAAAAAAAAGTCGAAAGGTGGAAACAGGCCCCTGACCTAGATTGGGACATGTCTTACTTTCCTGCAAAAACAACCTTCTTTCTCAACAGCTCTGCTTGCCATCTTCCCCATGACTGGTACCTGCAGCCAACTGGCTTAAGATCACTAAGGGAACCTTAGGACCTGGACTTCCAGTCTGACAGACCAATTCTAGATGATATACTTGCTCCCCAGTGTTAAAATAAATAAGCATATAACTATTCCATACTGATTAAGAATGTTTGTTGCTGATGCTGGAAATCAGCTGTGCTTAAGACTGAAATCCAGTATGCCACTGAGTGAAATGCAAGCAGCTTCATTGTTAGATTTTTTTCTTTTCTTTAGTTACCAAAGCTTGTATTGTCATTTCTTTGGTTCTCATTGCAGCTTTTTTTTTACATTTTCCCCCAGAGATTTAGCCTTAAGGAATTGCTTCCTTACATCTGATTTAAATGTGAAAATTGGAGATTATGGAATCGGATTCAGCAGATACAAGGTGAGCAAATGTTTGTAGGGATAACTACATTAAGAGCTTGAATGAAGCAGTATTGATTGATTATTGAATGAATATGGTTATCCCACCACATTTGCAGATTAAGCATTCACAGATTTGATTACTTGGGAATTTCTCTATTTGCCACTGCCTCCACTATTGTCATACATGTGATGAAAAAATAAATTTGCTCTAGACATTTTTGGGTCTGCCAATACAATTCTGTGGTCAATGTCTGGCAGATGTTGACCATAGAAATTTGCTGGAAGACCTACAAATGCCTAGAGATGTGTTCTCTCAAGGAAGAAAATAGCATTCTTAACTTTTATTTGTATTTGTGTTTTTCCTACTTTAGAAGGGACCCAGCACTGCTCACCCCTACAAATGTCCTATTGTTACAGTCAATGTTATGTGGAGTTGCTTAATTTGGTATATTGTGTATATTGTAGTTTTTTGTACCATTAATTTACAATGGTACAATCTGACTATATTCTGGATTTGATGATCTTCTGTTCATGCTTTCTATTTTAATGTAGCAGTTGGCTAAAACAGTGGAAGTCAAACCACAGAGGAAGCATTATATGATAGCTTATTTCAGAAAAATATTTTTGTACTTAGAAATTGAGCCAAATGGACACTGTCAGGTAGTTTTTTGAAAGGAAAAGTAGGATCCAGAGGCTGTGAACTTGATTGGAAGAGCTGTGAGGGAAGGAGAATTTAAGACATCCAGCTGTGAGGGAAGGAGAATTTAAGCCATTTTCTGTTTTTTTCTCCTCACATTTAGAAACTCCTGTGATTGCTTATTAAAATCACAAATCTGAGAATGCATTATTCTGGTTTTTTATGCAATATTTAGTTTGTCCTTCACTTACTGAGGAGCAGGTGCCTGAACAAATGTCCAGCTTGTGAGGGATAATTGGCTGCTCAGAATTCTTTCATTAGACATTAGCCTGAGAAACTATCAACTACATTTCACATGCTGAGCTTTTTCCAATTTGAACAAATGGTTTTCTTATTATTTCTATCAAAAACTGTGCTATACTGTTTTGCAGTAGTATTTATTATTATTTACAGAATTTATATTCCACCCTTCTCACCCCGCAGGGGACTCAGAGTGGATTACAATGTACATATACATGGCAAACATTCTAGGCATACACACACAACATATATAGACAGACACACAGAGGCTATTTAACTTTCCAGCTTCATGAGGGTATGATCGAATTCCAGCCACCGGGGATGCTGTCGCTTCACCATCCATTTGTTACATCAATGGAGTACTTCCTCATTCTTTTGCATGCTGCTGTAGATTTTTATGGTGTTGTAAATTAGTTAAATTAGCCTCCCTGCATAAATTTCCTACTTGACAGATGCAACTGTCTTTTGGGCTGCAAAGGTCGACAGCAATCTAGACAAATGGTTGGGAGCCTACTCCGACCCAGGCTGGCTTTGAATTCATGACCTTTCAGTCAGTAGTGATTTTAATTCAGCTGACTCCCAACCAACTACGCCACATCCAATCCATCTGAATTAATTTTTTTTATAATTTTGTGGACTTTCAGAGAGCCAGTAGGGAATTTGTCCATCCACGCTATACTTGACTATCCCAATACTGTGTACCCCATTTTCGTGTAGTTTTGGTGATGCTAGATGTATTTCTTGCAACTGAAACGTTTTTGTGTTTCAGGGGAAGTGGTCTATGGAAGCAGTGCCACCAGTATTGCTTTGTTCAACATAGTAGTATTATGGGCTCTTTCCTCAATGTTTCTTGGTTATATTGGTTTGGTTTACATCATATAGTTTGATTTGTCTTTCATTGTGTGTTTTCTACTTCATATGACAGGAAGATTACATTGAAACAGATGAAAAGAAACTTGTGCCTCTTCGATGGACTGCACCAGAGCTGGTGACTAGCTTTCAGGACAGGCTTTTAACAGCTGAACAAACAAAATACAGTAACATCTGGTATGAAAAGTGTTTTATTGAGAATTTTTGAAGTTGTCTGAATTGGTCTGATGGACATCTAAATCACACTTTAGATTGTGAATGAGCCCGTGTGAGTTGAGCACCCTTTCTTCCTCAATGTGAGCAAGAAGGGAAAACTTCCAATTTTGCCTTAGAACAAATCACAGGGTGCTCTTCTGCATAAAAACTTTTTTATATTTAACTTGTGCCATTTAGAATAAACATTCATTTCTTAAATTTTGTGGTTCTTATCTAAACTGAAAGCGGGAGTTTGCATCTCTTCTACTTCTCTTGTTTATAGAAGGCTGATTTTTTGGTATTATATGTGGGAGCTTCCAGTCAAGCTCCTGGTAATAATTAGTTTGATAATCAAAACATTAAAGAACGAAGAGTTTGCAATTTTTTTCTGTGATCATGGCATATGCCCTAGGTACTATAAGCCAAGGTACGGTTTGAAATCTGACAGAATGTTTTCCTTTTGCAGGTCACTGGGAGTGACGCTATGGGAACTTTTCAGCAATGCTGCAAAGCCTTACTCTGATTTATCTGATGATGAGATCTTGATACAGGTCATAAAAGAAAAGCAGACAAAGCTCTTGGAACCATGCCTTCAACAGCCGTATTCTGATAGATGGTAATTCTGAATCTCTCACATTCTTATTAGAGTTGGGTGCAAACCTGTAAGAGGAACGTGGCTTTATTTATTTGAAACCAGATTAGCTACACCTAGACTTTTGAGTACGAGATCAGTTGCAGGAGGTGAACCTCATAATCAGTTTGTGGACTTTGAAGTCTAACAAAAGGTGTTGGTGGTCTTAAATCATTTAGGGCATGGTTGTGGTGTACACCTTCCCAGTGTGAGTTGGGTCAGTATGACAACAGCAGTTGTTGGATTTATTGTTACGTGGAGGTTGAGTTAGGGTGGGAGTGATGTCACTCATATACTGCATTGTAGCACTCTCTTCTGTAATGCCAAAAATTACTCAGGAGAATTTATTTATTTAGTGTCAAAAGTATTGCATAGATAAGTATAAAAACGATGAAAATAGAGGGAACACAAGTGATTAAATAATTTTTGACCAAAAACGGGCAACAGTGACCACTTTGTCTATAGCTTTAAACAATTCTTCCTCTGTGCATGAGGCAGGGTATCGTGGACAAGCATACATTTGCGGAATTGTTTCTTCTGCTCCACAGTCACACAAGGTGGAGGATTCTTCTAGGTAGTTCCATTTTGTCTTTTGATCTGTCCACTCCACTTCTGAGTCTGTTCAGGGACTTCCAAGTTGGTCTTTCTTGGTTTGCCCCTGAAGAATGACAAGCTGGGAATAAAGTAATCAGTGAACGTAAGGCACTTTGAAAGCAAGCTGAGGGTGAGAAATTAGAAACAACAGAAAGGAACTAGCACTGTTTTGTTTTAGTATTTAACTGTGTTGTTCTTCTCATAGGTACGAAGTCCTGCAGTTCTGCTGGTTGTCACCAGACAAGAGAGCAACAGCAGAAGAGGTGCATAAGCTTCTAACGTATCTCCGTATGCAAAGTCAAAGGGATACAGTGCTTGATCCTGAACACTGGAATGATCTCAAGCCAAATACTTCAAACAGAGACTCCTCAAGTAATTCTGCCTTCCCAATCCTGGATCCTTTCCCAGGGAGCAGGTTTGGCCATGAGATGGAGGAAGTCCTCACAGTAACTGAAACAAGTCGAGGGCTCAACTTTGAATACATCTGGGAGGCTGCCAAGCACGATCACTTTGAAAGCCAGGTGGATCCTGATGAAAGGATGAGTTATACAAATATCTTCTTCCCCGTGGAAGTTTTTGAGAACACACTTATGGAGCAGGGGCCTGGAGCGCAAGACGAAAGTGGGCAGGAAATTGCACTTTGTGTGCCTGGTGAACTTCCTGTGTTCAATGCTCATAAACCTTCTGTTGGAAATGATTATTATATCCAATTGGAAGAGAAGAGTGGGGGTAATGCTATACATTTTGATAACCAGGCTGCTGTATTGACAACAGAAGTGGACAGCCCTGAAAATCTGAAAGACAAAAACAGTCATGTCATGGTTCTTAGAGATTTTGCTACTGAATCAACTACAGAAGGGGATTTCTTGTATAACACAGATCCAAAGGCAAGATACCGTCTTAATGGCCCTGAAAGCCCTTTCCAAAATACATTTAGTGATCTCAGCACAACTGAACAATTCTCCAATACCAGAAATAGATTTGAATTAACTGATATAAATGACATTCATGTGGCACTTGAAACAGTTTCTGACTCTGTTTTGGAGAAATCTAAACGTGATCACTCCAAGAACATCAGTCCTAGAGCGACTTCAAATCTTTCCTTGTTTGGGGATACCATACAGCAGACTGATCTTCATGTGCTGACTTCAGAAGAGCTGGCTGATAATTATCTTTTTCTTCAAGAAAAGCATTTATTAAAGGGGGCACTGAATAACAAAGCTGCTGGTGATGTTGACGGTGATGATCTCAGAAGGGTATTAGATATCACAAATACACTAGAATCACCAAATACAGATCCTTTGGGAGTTGAATGCAGTGTTACTGGAAATACCCCTGTGCATGAAGAGGAGCGTTTTGTTCAGATAGGTACAGATAAACACACACGTTTTTCTGCTGACTCCCTTGTATCAAATCAGATGGATTCTAGCACACTTGTCATAGATATTCAACACACATCCCCTTTATCAAAAGTTGAAAAGCCTCTTTCTAACATAGGAATTGATAATAATGCCCCCTGCACTATGGATTATTCTTACTTGGGAAAGGATTGCCTCTCTGAAGCAGACTGTACTGAAACACGATCCATAAATGCCAGAAGCCAAATTGATGAGGTCAGTTCCTCTGACAGCCCTTTGGTCCATGCACAAGAGGCAGAAAGGCAAAGGAAAAACCAGGAACTTGAAAATAATTGTTGGGGAGAATTGATCCATGATTTGGAGAATAAGCAGTTTGAATTAGAACAAGATGATACATACCCTCTGGATCAAACTGAGGAAACTTTTGCTCAGATCCAAAAATTAAACTCAGAGGGTCTCCTCAAAGACGTCACTCTCTTGTCTGTCCTTCCTTCAGATCGGACAAGTCATGACAGTCTGCTGGAAGACAGTTTATCAACTCCTCCTCAGAGCTCGGGGCAATCTGTAGACACACCAGACTCATTAGATTCTTTAGATGTGAATGAGGTCTTGGTATCTTTAGCAGGTCAGAAACTTTTGCCACCGGACAAACCTGCTGATAGTGGCTATGAAACTGAAAATTTGGAGTCTCCTGAATGGACCTCACATCTGATTGGCAGCAACTCTAGTGAAGTAACTGCTTTGTCCAGTGCAGATGGCGATCATCTTTTGTGTAATAACCCCATGATAATTGTTTCATCTGATGTAAATCCTGACTTGGATGCAGCACATATCATGGATAGGCGTGAAGAGGTTTCCAAGTCTGTTTTTAGTGGCATTCAGAATTCGTATAGAGATTCAGCTTATTTTTCTGACAATGATTCGGAACTAGATAAGAAATCTGAGGTAATTAAGACATCCACAGAACCAAAAGTACTTCTAGAGACCAGTGCTACCAGGAACTCTTTTGAATTGGAAGAGAATGTAAATACTGGAAATAGACCAAATGAGGATAGAATAGTTGATGGCCGGTGTTCTAATAACTCATGCTTACAGGTAGAATTGGATGAGAGGCTAGAGGGCCCTGGAATTGATGAAAGAAAGCAGAAATATTGCCATAAAGGTAGTAATACAACTGGGCTGCTACCTGTGGTGGAGGTAGAGACTGCTGCAGATGATGAAGTGGAAATCTATGAGGAGTCCCCCATAAGTGTGTCTTGCACAGGCACCAATACAGCAGACTTCCTCCCTGAGAGAGACCTAAAGCTTACACCAACAGAAATCTTTGAAAAGTCCTTACTGGGTCACCTTGAAGGTCATAAGTTGAAAGAACCAGATGTTGAAGGGAAATATCTGGGTAAACTTGATGTTTCTGAAATGCTCAGTCTGTCAATGGATGGTGACGATGCTGACGAGGAAGATGAAAATAGTGATGATTCTGAGGATGACATGAGAACGTTTCATTTTCATGGGCTCAGCTCTGACAGTGATGAGGAAATTATGCACCAGGTTCCAGTGATTCTCATGGACCACGATGATGGCAGAACTTTAAGGGGCTTGTTGAAACATCCAAAGCAAATGGAAGAAAACAGGCCTGCTGAAAGTGTTCAGAAGAACGACAGGAAAGCAGTCACATTCTTTGATGATGTCACTGTTTATCTTTTTGATCAGGTATGTTTCATATCTGTGTTTATGTTTTTCTCTCAGTGTTGGCTTGGGATGGGAAAGAAGATAGAATAACAGCAGGTCCTTTGAGGAATGTTTGAGCATTCAGAGTTTGCCAATACAAAAATATTGTTGTGGAAGGAAACAAGTGTGTTAAACATTACATCAAGTGAAAAAGTGAGTCAGTGTTTTCCTTCATAACGCTTAGGAACCCCAACTAAGGTCATATCACATTTGAAAATCATGAATAATTCTAAAATAAGATGATGCTCAGTGGTGCTTTCTTTATTCTGTGCTTTAGAGACCATGCCACATTCATAACAAGTAGAGACATAGTCGGTCGGTCTGCCCTTCTTTCTTGCGGATTGAGCTGGTTATTGAATAGATAACCATCTGCCCAAATTGCATCAAAGCAGAAGCAACATAATCAGACATAGATAAAACACAATTGTCTCAGTAACATAGAGTTATAATTATAAAGTACCCTGGATTTCCATATAATATTTTAAACTTAGAAAATATGTGCACATTTGACTGTTTCTCTTTCTGAAAATAGCTGATCTACTTTATAAAGCTCCAAGGTTGTGTATGTAGGGTTGTTGTGAGTATTTCAGACTGTATGGCCATGTTCCAGAAGCATTCTCTCCTGACATCTCGCCTGTGCCTATTGTAGGCATCCTCAGAGGTTGTGAGGTCTGTTGGAAACTAGGAAAAATAAGTTTATATATCTGTGGAAAGTCCAGGGTAGGAGAAAGAACTTTTGTCTGTTGAAGGTAGGTGTGAATGTTTCAATTGGCCACCTTGATTAGCATTTGATGGCCTGACAGTTTTTTTGGGTGGCTTGTTACTGCCTGGGGGAATCCTTTGGTGAAAAGTGTTTAGCTGGCCGTGATTGTTTCTTTTCTGGAATTCCCCTGTTTTTGAGTGTTGTTTTTTATTTTAGTACTGGTAGCCAGATTTTGTTCATTTTCATTGTTTCTTCCTTTCTGTTGAAATTGTCCACATTCTTGTGGATTTCAGTGGCTTCTCTTTGTAGTCTGACATGGTAGTTGTTAGAGTTATCCAGCATTTCCAGCATAGTAGTTGTTAAAGTTATCCAGCATTAGAGTTATCCAGCAACTCTAACAACTGACATGGTAGTTGTTAGAGTTATCATCCCAGCACTTGATGAACCAGGTTGGTTCATCAAGAGCTCTGCTATGGCTCACTTTTCTAGCCTGCAGTGCCTTTCATGTTCTAGCCTGCAGTGCCTTTCGTGTTCCTTTGATTCATGTCTGGGCATTGCTGCATTCGGTGGTCCCTATGAAGACTTGTCCACAGCTGCATGGGATATGGTAAACTCCTGCAGAGGTGAGAGGATCCCTCTTGTCCTTTGCTGAACATAGTATTTGTTGGATTTTCTTAGTGGATCTGTAATGGGTTGTGTATGTACAGTAGTTTTCAGTTTTATAATGAGATAGCCACAAAGTAGTTTTTATTCCTAGTGGGAGAGCAAACTAGCACAACAGTTCATTTTTGTGAAAGTTCTCAAAATAAACCATGGTTGGATTGTAGAATATTAAGAGTTTGTTGGACAAAGTGGTTTACATTTTTATTTTTACTATTGTTGACCTGTTTTATGTTAATTGCTGTACTGTAATTGTTCTTTGTTGGCATCTAATGATTGCCAATTGTAAGCCGCCCTTAATCCCCCTTCGGGGGTTGAGAAGGACGGGATATAAATGTTTTAAATACATACATACATATATATGAGTTATGCTTTTCCCTTGTTCCATACATCACACCAAATGTTTGTACAGTGAAAGATAACAAAAATTGTATAAATAGTTCTTATTCTGAACGTTTATGTACCCAAGCAATCATGAGTTAGTCTAGAACAGAACAAACTTTTTCAGCCACCGAGTCCTTTTTGAAGAAAAAGTTTCTCATGGAGCCCCAAGAAATGTTTATATGTATATTATATTTTATTAAAAGTAAAGGTTTCCCCTGACATTAAGTCCAGCCGTGTTCGACTCTGGGGGGTTGTGCTCATCTCCATTTCTAAGCCGAAGAGCCGGCATTGTCCATAGACACCTCCAAGATCATGTGGCCAGCATGACTGCATGGAGCTCCGTTACCTTCCGGCAGAAGCAGTACCTATCGATCTACGCACATTTCCATGTTTTCAAACTGCTAGGTTGGCAGAAGCTGGGCCTTACAGCAGGAGCTCACCCCGCTTCCAGGATTTGAAATGCCAAGCCTTCAGTCAGCAAGTTCTGCAGCTCACTGGTTTAACCTGCTACGCCAACAGGGGGGTCACATATTTATATATATACCGTATATTCCGGCATATAAGACGACTGGGCGTATAAGACGACCCCCAACTTTTCCAGTTAAAATATAGAGTTAAGATGACTCCCATGCATAAGACTACACCTGCATATAAGACGACCCCTGACTTTTGAGAAGATTTTCTTGGGTTAAAAAGTAGTCTTATACGCCAGAATATACTGTATATATATCAGACATGGGCACATTTTTTAACTAACATAAACTTAGCAGTATTTTAATGGAAGAGCCCAGGGCTATCCAGTCCAACCCCCTCTTCAACCATGCAGGAAAAAACACAATCAAAGCATCCCCCAACAGATTGGCCATCCAGCCTTTGTAATAATAGTAGTAGTAGTAGTAGTAGTAGTAGTAATAGTACCAGCAGAAACTCAAGGGGCCATCATGGAACCCCCTCAGTATGCTCTGCAGAGCCTCAAGGGCTTCCTGGAGCACACTTTGAGAACTGCTGGTCTAGAAGCGTGGCTTTCTATGATTTGTGATGTTGTCATTTGAACCTCCCCTGAGTTTTAGCCCAAGTCCTAGAAGACGGAGTTCTTTTGCAGGGGCTCCCATAAAGATGGGAAATCTAGCAGGCCATACGCGTTTATATGCACTTTGAAGACCCTCCTTTCGGAAAGCCTTTTATAATCATTTTCATTGCTGGACTCATTTTAAACTTTTTAACTACATTGTATTGCCCTTGATTGTCACCCTGCAAATAATTTTTCTAACTCAAGGATGAAAATAGGCAGACATGCAGATATTGCTGAGGTGCATCTCCCAGATCTCCTTGCCAATAGAGTCCATGGTGAAGTCTGTTAGGAGCTGCTGTCCAACAACATCTGGGGTAGAACATAATTTCTGATTCCCATCTAAATGATGGAGTATGGATTTTTAAAGATCCAGATTTAAGAAGGTTGTGATGGTTAGCTGGTAGCTGTGTTGTGTGGCCACAGACCACTCAACAAAATAATCATCACTTAAAACATACTACAAAAATTAGAGCGTATAAAACAAAATAAGTAACAATTCACCAATCACACGCAATCTTAAAAAATAGTAAACCAGGCATAACTTATCTGTATAAAGAATAGATTTGCAAATCTTAGCAGCAGGATTAAAAAGATTATAATGCTTTGTATTTCATAATAATTATTATCAGTTAATTTCTTTTAAAGAGATGTAATAACGTCTTATTCACGCTTCTTTGTAAATATTAACATACACACACACCATGCTACTTGGCAGATTGGATTTGGCTCAGAGGACTGTAGTTAATGTGTTTTTAATGCACTTAGTACAAATAACATGCCATTGAAGGATGTGAGAGCGCCCTAAATGGTACACAAAGTACAAACATGAACTGAACAAGATCACGATTTAGCAGAACAGCCAGCTTGAGACCCATTGTGTTCAGAGAACTGAGGAGTATGCAGTGACTACAGCTTTTCTTTCTGGGGTTTGAAGACACGACGTCTGGATTCAGCAGTGCTTTGTTACTAATTCCTCTTTTGAAGCAGGAATTACGGTGAGCTGCACAACAAGTATCAAACAGAACGGCATTGTTAGGTGCTCTACAGAAAGGGCAGCAATGTGTAGGACACAGGGCATACTGGTGCAATCATTGTTTTAGTGTGGAGGGACAGTCATCTATATTTCCCATTAGGAGAAACCTAGGCTGTTGCAAAGGCCTCTAATGTTAATTTGTCAGCCCATTTTAATGCTGCATAATTTGGATAACTTCACCTGGTGAAAAACCCCAGAAGCTAATCCTATTTCTTTATTTCTTAGGAAACGCCAACCAAAGAGCTTGGAAACCATACCACAGAATCAAACCACTCAGACTCTAGTAATGCTCCTGCTCCAGCTTCAGGCCTTGGCTACTTGAATAAATTTACAAATTCCGAAAGCTCTACTGATGAAGAAGGTACTTAGTCTTTGGGTCGTGTACTTTGAGAATGAAGCCTTGCAAACTCCAGATGCATAGTTCCAAAATACATTTGAGTGTGTGGTGGTACTGAGGTGATGTGTTGTTTATGGTAGAATATATATATATATGTATACACACACACACTCATACACACACACACACACACACATACACACATACATACACACACACACACATACATACATATACATACACACACATATACACACACACACACACACTAGAACAGATTGTGGAACAGTTTCAACCCAGGTATACGTCCATCTAACATGATGGCAGTATTTTCCTTTCTGATGTTACAGAGATGATAAAAGAAACGATTGTAGCTCAGTGCCTAAGCAAATACCTTACATTCAAAGAGTCAGGTTTAATCTATGATACCTCCAGGCGACCCTGGGAAAAATCTAAAACCATGGGTGGTCAGTATAGATCAGACATGGAAAAACTTTATTGCCAAGTGGCTGCCTTGTGGCCCTGTCTGCAAGGGCTGGGCCTGTTGAGAATGTGGGTGGGGCCAGAAGGGGCAGGGCCATGGGGCTGGAAAAGGCTGGGGTGGGGCTATAATTTCGGAGGAGCTGGGGCCGGGAGAGGGAAGGGGCGAACCTGGCTCCATGGAGACCAACACGCAACTGCCTGTTGACAGTGGCATGTTTCTCTCCCTGGCTCTTCTGGGCCCCGTTTTCCTTGGGCCCAGAGGAGGGAGAGAAACACGCTGCTGTCAAGCATGCTTGGCAGTGGCATGTTTCTCTCCATGGTTCTTCTCTGGGCCCCGGGAAGGCAGTGGCCCACCTTCCTTGGGCCCAGAGAAGAGAGAGAAACATGTCGCTGTCAAGCATGCTTGGGAATGGCGTGTTTCTCTCCTCGGGTCTTCTCTGGGCCCTGGGAAAGCAGCAGCCCATCTTCTTTGGACCCAGAGAAGGGAAAGAAACACGCCACAGTCAAGCACACTTGGTAACAGCATATTTCTCTCCCTGGCTCTTCTCTGGGCCCCAGGAAGGCAATGGCCCACCTTCCTTGGGCCCAGAGAAGAGAGAGAAACACGTCGCTGTCAAGCATGCTTGGGAATGGCGTGTTTCTTTCCCTGGCTCTTGCCTAGGCCCCGGGAAGGCAGTGGCCCACCTCCCTTGGGCCCAAAGAAGGGAGAGAAGCATGCTTTGTCAAGCAGGCTTGGCAACAGCATGTTTCTCTCCCTGGTTCTTGTCTGGGCACAGAGGAGGGAGACAAGCACGCTGCTGCCGAGTTCTCTTCAGAGAGCGCTTCATAGGTCATGTCTCCATCTCGGCCCTACTCTTGGCCTGGGGCTGCGGCAGGCCACTTTGTCTGCATACTGAAAGAAAGGTCAAAGAAGACAGGGGTCGGGACGAAGAGCCCAGCGAGCTGCATCTGGTCTACAGGCCTGGGTTTGCCCGTGCCTGGTATAGATTGAGTCCACCAACCATCCTCCTAGTGACCCGTTGCAGACTACACCAACTCCTCTGGACAAAACAGCCAAGTCCACTTCAGGGTTTAAAAGCACTCATTTTATTCCCAGATTAGACTTGCAGGGCAAATGCTTTCTGTTTAATTGCACTTTCTGTAAACTTCCAGGAGTGTCGTTCTTCATTTCAGGATTTTATCCTCTCCCGCAGGAAGCTTGTGGGGCTGCATGCTCAGGACATGCTCAATCCTGGTATAAAAAACACTTGAGATGGATAGAGTGTACATGCCATTCCTACTTTGGGCAGAGATCTTTTCCTCTTCATTCTGCTTACCCAATATGTATGTGCTCTGTTGCAGGAGGGGGTTTTGAATGGGACGACGACTTCTCTTCTGCAGAGCCCTCTTTTATATCGAAAGCTGCAAACAGCCTCATTAGCTCCAAATCATCTCTTCAGACCTCAAAGTACTTCTCTCCTCCGCCACCGCCTCGAAGCTCCGAACAAAACTGGTCGCACCCCTTACCTTACTCCAGGTTCTCTATCTCACCAGCAAACATTGCAAGCTTTTCGCTCACTCACCTGACGGATTCTGATATCGAACAGGGAGGCAAGTATTTTCCTTTGAGCAGCAGTCCAAAGCAAAGCTTTCAGGCGTTGCTTTGTTAAAGGGCTTACTGAAAGATGTTAAAAGTTTTGCCCAAGGAAATAAAATGAATTTAGTGTAACCCATAATAGTAAAGACTGTATTAATGAGGGAGCTGATTTTGGAAAGCTAAATCTTATATCCCAGCCAGGCATGGGCAAACTTGTGCCCTCTGGGTGTTTTGGATTCCAACTCCCAGCTTAAGCGGCTGAGGGGGAAAAGGAAGGGTCCTGAGGCTATGAGGAATTGTGGGAGTTGGAGTCCAAAACACCCAGAGGGAGGACCCTAGTTGGCCGATGCCTGGGATATTCTCATTGTAATTCAACAGCACCTGGAAGGCTCACATTCCCTGCTTGAATTTACTGCTTGCCAAAATAGCAAATTCATCCTTGACTCTTTTCATATTGTTAGGATATTTTTTACTCTATTCCCTGGTCTGTACAAGCCCTTGCTGTTTGGCATACTTGCTCACATTGGGTTCTGTAGAAACACGCTGTTTGTGTGAAAAGTGCTGATTAGATAAGATTCTTGGCCTCTTTAATCAACAGGGCCAGCGTTTAAGATACTGTACCTTTCTTTTATGTCATTACCAGTGACATTGAAGGGAGCGATTTAGATCATTGTGCCTGAGAGCCTTCCAGGTGTGCCTAAAGGATGGGTTTCATAATAGAACATTGATAGCAATGGGTTTAAATTTCAGGATCTCATTTTTGAGGGACTGGGTCAAAATGTTATGTCCATGATGTGGCATTAAATTTTTGCCGGAGTTTGTTAGCCGCCTTGAGCCCCCTGTGGAGTGAGAAAGGAGGGGTATAAATGAAGTAAGTTAGTAAATAAATAAATGGCCCAACCTGCACTAAAATAATATTTTCCAAAGGAGCTCCTGGTGGCACCGTGGGTTAAACTGCTGAGCTGCTGAACTTGCTGACTGAAAGGTCAGCAGTTCGAATCTGGAGAATGGGGTGAGCTCCTGCCATTAGGCCCAGCTTCTGCCAACATGCAAATATGAGTAGATCCATGTAATCATGCTGGCCACATTACCTTGGAGGTGTCTACGGACAACGCCGGTTCTTCTGCTTAGATATGGAGATGAGCACCACCCTTAGAGTCGGACTCGACTGGACTTAATATCAAGGAGAAGTCTTTACGTTTTTATTATTCCAAAATCTTCGTCTCCCTGTCATTCCACCTCTTTCATATCAACATACCATATATACTAGAGTATAAGCCAACCTTAACACAAGCCGAGGCATCTAATTTTACCACAAAAAAACAAATTGAAAAACATATTGATTTGAGTATAAACCGAGGGTGGGAAATGCAGCTAATACTGGTAAACTTCTAAATAAAAATAGATACCAAAAATTTACATTAATTGAGACATCCATAAGTTAAATGTTTTTGAATATTTACATAAAACTGTAATTTAAGATAAGGCTGTCCAACTCTGATTAAATGACTCAAACCTTCTTCAGTGTAAATGTGCTTACGTATCCTTTCAGTCACTACAGTTTATTTTAACTATACATTTTGGGGAAAATGCTGTGTATATATGAATAAGGAAAATTGAGAAAGACTGGCACCAAGAGAGGAGGAGAGGAATGAGAGCTGGGTTACTGTGTGGCGAGGCGTGGGGCTGAAAGAAGCCCTTCTTTCAGCCTCATGCCTTCCTGCCAGGACCCTCACCCAAGTATAAGCTGAGGAGGGCTTTTTCAGCCCACAAAAGGGCAGAAAACAAGGCTTATACTCAGGTATATACAGTAGTTTGTATGGAACCCTTCCCTGGGAAGTAAACTTGATGGAAAATAGTTTCAGTGGAATGCATCTGAAGGTCAAATATCCCAAGTCCTTTTCTCTCCTAACTCACAAATCTATACTTCTCAACAGGAAGCAGCGAAGACGGAGAAAAGGATTAAATGGCTGAAACTTCCTTCAGTGTATAGCCATCCTTTTGGAGGACACTTCTGTTTTCTGCCTAAGAGCCAATGCTTTTTAAAAACGTTTTCCTTTGAAAAGAAAGCAGATCTGCTGAGACACAGTTGACAGCTCCGAAGGCAGGGTTCAATCAGGACCTGAACTTGAAGGTGGATGTTGCTACTTTGAGATGTAAATGTTTTGTTTTCCTTTCCTTTTTTGGGGAAACGTGCATTTTCCAATTCCTTTTAAACACCTATTTCTGTGCTTGCTCCCCCCACCCCATCTGCCCCTAAGTACTTGAAGCATCCTCCAGACAATTTGTAACTATGTAAAATGACTATGTTCTGGTTTCTATATAGGATTGTATCATACTGTACCCTTTTATATTTTGTGTATTACCTGTATGAACGTGTACAATTGTATATACCTAAGCAGCAGGTGGCTGTGTTCCTTGAAGTGGTCTGCTGAGGGCTGTGGTGTTGCAAGCCATATTTCAAAGACTTCACATGTTGCTTAGCTGCTGATGCACTATTGGCTATTTCCCCCAGGTCCCTCTTGTTGTATAAAGTCATTCTTTGCTTTTTGATCGATGGACATTGTTGTTTTGGACCCATTTAACCATTTTGTTTCGTTACTCCAGTTTCCCATTTCTGTGCGGTGCACTTGTCGGAATGTACAGAACCTGAGTCTTCCTTTTAAAAATATACTTGTGAGATGTTAATGTGCTAATCTTGTTTCTAAAGGGGGCAGTTCACTTGGAGATAGATTCCCATTTTTCAGTGAAATGGTCGGGGAGTTAGAGTTGACTTATCAAATGGTGGTAGTCTGTAGGTGTTGTAGGACTCGCTTTCAGGAGAAGTCTTGAAAGACACTGGAATTCTATATGTTTCTGTATGTATGTGTGTTCAAAAAATGATCTTCGACCCCTTCCACATAACTGAATAAAATCCCACATCTGCTTTGAACTGGGATATATGGCAGTGTGGACTCAAATAACCCTGTTCAAAGCAGATATTCAGGGTTATTCTGCCTTGATATTCTGGGTTATATGGCTGTGTGGAAGGACCCTTAGTTACTAAGTAACTTCTGATCTCACTCGTCTCATCTTTAGGGATTTGCCACCCTTTTTCATGAGGGTTTGACCCATGCAGTCACTGAATCTTCTTTTGTGTGTCTGAAAAGAAGCACCTTGATGAAGCAGGCCATGGGTCTAGCTGGGTTTGTGGGTCTCAGAAATCCACATACAACAAAACACTCTTCAAAATAGATTTGGATCTTTAGTATTTCTTGTAATTGCAGATTATCCCATTTAAGGCTGTGTCAAAGCAACTAGTTCAGTTAGTTAAAGATTGCTGCCAGAAGCTTAAGGGCCGGTGAACAATGCTTTAGAAAAAAGTTTCAATTTAATTCTTTTTTCAGAACTCACAAAGTTACACCATGGACAACACACGACCATGCCTTCAAACAATACTGTCTCCCCATAGGCAGTAGCTTTCTGAAAGCTAGAGCTTCCATGGTGTTTACAAGGCCTAGCCAAAGCCCCACTCTTCTGATGAAGAGGGTCCCTGACTGACTTAGAAATGGGAAGGGACTGCCATGGCAGAGCTGGCTTTGATTCCCATATTTCATCTCAGTGAAACGCGTGTTTGTGTCTGTTTATATAGTTTACCTGATTTTAAAAATGAGAATTTCATCTCTAATCATTGATTTTGCAGCTAAGCTTGGTTAGGGGGAGAGGTGTTCAATAACAACAACAATAACAACAAAAACTTTATTTGTATCCTCCCCCATTTCTCCGAGGAGACTCAAAGCGGTTTACAGCAAAATAACAGTGCAAACCATAAACAATAATTAGATATACAATGAAATTAACTTAAATCAACAAAAATAGTGAGACAAAATAATTTAAAAATAAAACAACATCTTAAATTGACACAGACAACCATCAATCATAAGTAAAAATAAACAGAGTTTATATTATATAAACCAATTAAAACATCCCAGTCACTGCTCTGGTCAAAAAAGTGAAAATCCAATTAAACTTTGTCGCATTTAACTTAGTCCCATTTAAATCCTCCAACCGTTGGATATTTCAATTGCTTCTGAAAAGTCAAAAGCATGGAAAATTGCCTAATCTTCCTGGGGAGGGCATTCCAGAGCCTGGGGGCCACAACTGAGAAGGCCCCCTCCCTCGTCCCCACCAATCGTGCTTGTGACGGAGGTGAGACCGTGAGGAGGGCCTCCCCGGCGTATCTTAATGCTCAAAAAGGTACATAGGGAGAGATGCATTTGCGTAAATAGGCTGGACCCAAACCATAAAGAGCTTTGTAGGTAGTATTGGGCCTGGAACATATACGCAGCCAGTGGAGCTGCTTTAGTAGGGGAGTGGTACGTTCCCTATAATTAGCTCCAGTCAACAAAATGGCTGCACATCTTTGTACTAGTTGCACTACATCAAAATAAGCCGCCCCGTTTTGGATCTGATAAAGAACATTTATGAACACTGTGAATATGAGTAGTTTTAAAATCTCAAATGGAGATATTGGGGTAGTTTTCTTTGCCCTTATTCTCTTATCCTTCAACTTCCCTTAGGTTTGCATGGAGATCTGAATTGAACAAGTGTGAGCATTGCCAGAAATAGGATTGATAGGATCACCACTTCAGTGATAGGATCTCCACTTCAGAAGGCGCTCAAGTGGTAATAATAATAATAGAACAACTCAGAAGGCATGTTGCCTGATCTTCTCAGCTGCAACATGCCTCTTTACACCAATTTGTTTTGGAAAACTGGAATCTTTGTAAGCCTTTGTGAATCATGTAAATCAGAGTTCGTAACAGAGCAATTTAAGGTTATTTTGAAAAGGCAGTACTGGGTCTGTTTCAAATTCCCAATAGATTCTTGACAGTTGTGTATCTAAAGTGCGGGTTTTTCCCATTCAAAATATTTTTTTCTACTGTTCTCATCTCTATCATAACATCGCAAATCTAAAATGCAAGGAGAGCTGCAAAAGTAAAGTGAGACCTCAGTATACAGGGGTTGCAATAACAGGTGAAACTGCATGGCTGCTAACTTGATAGTTTGTGGTTTTGGATATCACTTATGGCAGCCTCTCCCAGTCTGGTGTT